CAGACAGATAATGGAGAAGAACAAAACCCACTGCCATGCGGTTGATTCCAACTCATAGTGACCCTATGAGACAGCGTAGAAGTGCCCCCTGGGCTTCCAAGGCTGTCACTCTTTATGGGCTGTCTCGTATTTCTTTTGCAGAGTGGTTGTAAACCACCAGCCTTTTGGTTAGCAGCTGAATGCTTTTACCACTGTACCACCAGAGCTCCTAGTGACCCTCTAGGATAGAGTTTAACTGCCCCGTAGGGCTTCCAAGGCCGTTTGTTATCTTTGTGGAAGCCGACCACCACACCTTTCTCACACAGAGTGGATGGTGGGTTTGAACCCCTGCCTTTTTGGTGAGCAGCCAAGCACTTAACCAGTGTACCACCCGGGCTCCTTAAATGAGGAAGGAATTGGGTAAATGAATGGGTGTGAGAATGAATGACTGAGTGACTGTCTGGATGACTGAGTGAGGCAGTCAAGAAGGCAGTGAAGGAAGACTGTGGGGAATGGATGAAGAAGCAAGTGACACTGGCAGGGCTGCCCTCACGGTGACCATCCTGTCACTCAGTATTCCTGTCCCCATCCTCTGCAGAAGCAGTGGAGCAGTTCTGCCACTCACTGAGGGACCACTATCTGGCCAAGCCTGCAGTCCCGGATGACATCCTGGTGGAGGTGGAGCTGGTGTGGGCACGGCTGGAGAAGAGCAGCAGTAAAAGCCAGGAGAGGGAGCTGGCCACTCAGGACTGGGCGGAGCGGCAGCTGGTCCACGGGGGTCTGGCGGAGGTGCTGCTGGCTGCTGGCGACCACCGACGGCGGCGTGAGACGCAGGTGATTGCCGTGCTGGGCAAGGCAGGCCAGGGTAAGAGCTGCTGGGCTCGGGCTGTGAGCCGAGCCTGGGCCTGTGGCCAGCTGCCACAGTACGACTTCGTCTTCAGCGTGCCTTGCCACTGTTTGGACCGTCCAGCGGCCACGTACCGCCTGCAGGACCTGCTCTTCTCCCTGGGCCCACGGCTGCCACCAGCAGACGAGGAGGTCTTCCGTTACATCTTAAGGCACCCTGACCGCGTTCTGCTTATTCTGGACTCCTTTGAGGAGCTCGAAGCCCAGGATGGCTTCCTGCACAGTGTCGGTGGGCCCCTGCCCACAGAACCCTGCTCCCTCCGGGGGCTGCTGGCTGGCCTCTTCCAGCGCAGGCTGCTCCGGGGCTGCACGCTGCTGCTCACGGCCCGGCCCCGGGGCCGACTCGCCCAGAGCCTGGCCAAGGCCGACCGCCTGTTTGAGATGGCTGGCTTCTCTGCTGAGCAGGCCGAGGCCTACGTAACGCACTACTTTGAGCATTCCACTGAGCACCAAGACCAGGCCCTGAAGCTCCTCCGAAGCCAGCCATTCCTCCGAAGCCACAGCCACAGCCCCACCCTGTGTCAGGCCGTGTGCCGGCTCTGCGAGGCCCAGATGGGACTGGAAGACGGGGCCCAGCTGCCCTCCACGCTCACAGGGCTCTTTGTCGGCCTGCTAAGTCCAGCCGCCCATGATGCCCCCACAGGGGCCCTGGTGGGACTAGCCAAACTGGCCTGGGAGCTGGGCCGAGGCCACCGCAGCACCCTGGGGGAGGCCCAGTTGCCGTCGGTGGAGGCCAAGGCCTGGGCCGTGGCCAAAGGCCTGGTGCAAACCTGCTCAGGGGCCCCGGGGCCCGAGCTGGCCTTCTCCAGCTTCCTGCTGCAATGCTTCCTGGGAGCCCTGTGGCTGGCGCTGAGTAGCGAGATCAAGGACAAGGAGCTGCCGCAGTATCTGGCGTTGACTCCACGCAAGAAGCGGCCATATGACAACTGGCTGGAGGGTGCACCGCGCTTCCTGGCCGGCCTGATCTTCCAGCCACTCTCCAGCTGCCTGGGAGCCCTGGTTGGGCCGGCGGCAGCCGCCCCAGTGGACAGGAAGCGGAAAGTGCTCACGCGGTACCTGAAGCGGCTGCAGCCGGGGTCGCTGCGGGCCGGGCGGCTGCTGGAGTTGCTGCACTGCCTCCAGGAGGCAGGGGACACTGAGCTCTGGCAGTACGTCGTGCTCGGGCTCCCATGCCACCTCTCCTTCCTGGGCACCCGGCTCACGCCCCCTGATGCCCACGTGCTGGGCATGGCCTTGGAGGCCGCTGGACGCAACTTCTCCCTGGACCTCCGCAGCACTGGCATCGACCCCCCTGGACTGGCGAGCCTTGTGGGACTCAGCTGCGTCTCCCTTTTCAGGTGGGAGCGCAGGGGAGGACGCCTTGGGGCTGGGCACCTGCTGCGGGCTTGATCCTGTGCCCAGTGCTTACTCTGTGGGGCCTCATGTGCAACAGTAGCAGGGCAGGGGAAGAATGAATATCCCCTGTTTTTATAAGGAGGAAGCTGAGGCTCAGAGAGGGAGAGTAGTTATCCCAAGGTCACACAGCCAGAAGGGACAGTGCCAGGAGTATCCTAGGTGGCACAAAAATTTGCACTTGACCACTAACCTGAAAGTTGGAGATTCAAACCCTCCCAGCAGGTCTAAGGAAGAGAGGCCTGGTGGTCCACTTCCATAAAGATTAAAGCCAAGAAAACCCTGTGGAAAAGTTCTACTCTGTAACACATGGGGTTGCCATGGGCAGAATCAACTTGATGGCAGTGGGCTGGTTTTCGTTGTGGTTTATGTGCCTGGTTTATGTCGTTTACGTGCCATGTCTGGACTCTAAGACTGACCTGGATTCATCCATTTTCTTCTCCCTGTCCTCTGATCAAGCCACCGTTTCTTGTGCTTGGATTGAAGTCACAGCCCCCACCCTGTACCCCCGGCCTCCCTGCCTCCGTTCTCTTCTCCTCCACTCCACCTTGCAGTTAGCCACCAGAGTGGTCTTCCCAGGACTCAAGTCTGATCAGATCCCTTCCCTGCTTGCAACCTGTCAGGTCTTTCCACCACCCTCAGGGTGATGTCTAAATTCCTTGATTTGGCTCCTTTAAGTCATTCTGCAGTCTGCACGATCACTTCAGCTGAATCTCCAAAGAATACCTACCCCCCCACCAAGCATACTTTATTGAAGCTGTAAGGTCCTACACAAATGTAGTGGTTCAACCAAGAATTTAACACTGAGCTTCCTGGTAGCCAAAGCAAAAAGGGAAACAAAACCACTGCAAGAGTTGAGGAGTCATTAGGGGCTGGAGTGGTCATAGGCAGCTTTCTGGAGAAGATAGCGATTGGGCCAAGAAGGAAAGAAAGCATCTGAGTATGTAGAGAGGCCCCTTCAGAGAGGTCCCTTCATGGAGCTGTCCTCCACTGGGGTCCAGCCAGTCATGGTGCCTGGGTCTGAGGTCCTCCTTCCACAGGGCCGCCCTGAGTGATATGGTGGGACTGTGGGAGTCCCTGCAGCAGCGTGGGGAAGCCAAGCTACTCCAGGCGGTGGAGGAAAAGTTCACCCTTGAGCCATTCAAGGTCGAGTCCTTGAAGGACGTGGAAGACCTGGGCAACCTCGTGCGGATCCAGAGGTGAGCGGCAGAGGGATGGGAGTGGGCTGGTGCGCCTCCAGGCCACGCAGGTTGAGGAAGTGCAGGGCCCAATGTCAAGTTTGTCACCAGCATTTGCAGTGCCTCCTCCCCTTGGTGACACTCTGTGTCCTCTCCTGGGGCAATTGGGCAGTGGCAACCCAGAACCTCTCACTGCATCAGTCCACCCAGGTCGAGCCCGTAGGGCTTAAAGCTTTGTCTCACTCTAAATTCACCATCCTGGGCCTAGTTCCTTCTTAGCAAGAGCCAAGGAGAAGCTAACTCAGTTTCTTAGCACTGTCTTAACACATGCCACAAAGTGGATGGCTGAAAGCAACAGGAGAGTTTTGCCCCTCAGCCTGGAGCTGAGGTGTCTGGGTTCCAGGAGCCACTGGGGCCACACT